TATGTTAATGTATGTTAATGTATGTCAATGTATGTCAATGTATGTTAATGTATGTTAATGTATTTGTATCATGCTGTTTTAATAAACCCTTTTAGCAATCTCTTTTACGCTATGTTAGCCTCAAAACCATATAATAAATTGCAAATGCAAGAGATCTGTGAGTGTAGAAGACTTAATGGAAATAGTTTGAAATGATCACGAGTTTTTGAATATTTTAGCAMACAATTGAGGCTGCATAAAAGAGATCGCGAAACTCAACTATTCACACTCGTTCACGGCTACCTGAGCCATCTTGCAATTTAGGTAACCAGGCCTTTGCATCGAAGCGAGACAACTGTTGAGCATGCAATGGTAGAAAATATCCTGTGAATAATTGCCTGCAGGTGTGAAAGAAGGTACTATCATTGCACGCTCGACAGTCATCTCACTTCCATGCAAAGGCAAGGCTATCTTTCAAGATGGCGCAGGGAACTGTGAAGAAGACTATTATTTATTTTGACTGTACTTGTTTTTTCCAAAGAGTAAAAGAGGAAAGGTTCTGGAGGAACTACTTCTACAGAGTATCTCTAATCAAACAATCAACACAACTGACATCATTGGCTGCAAGTGGTTCAGAGAAGACAGCTACACAAGCAGAAACTACTGAAGGCAAAGCAGAAATAGGTGTGAACTAAATCAATGATATTTTATGATATTTTAATGTTTTATTTTAACATTTAAAAAATAAACTAAATATTATTGGAAACTTACAGATTCGGCTTCTACGCCACCACAAGTGATTCCTGCTCGTACTGATGATAGCAAAGTGAGTTTCTTCAATAATTTTTACTTAGTGTTTTAACTATACAGCCTTTTGCAAAAATTATGAGAATTGTTGAAATATCTAAATATCATAATATCGAGTGCATGATGGGTAATCCGGCGCGATGCCCTTAGTCCCTTGTCTTTGTAGTTTAGTTTTTTTTTGGGCGACAGACTTATCCGTAGTTCTGAACATTTTCTCGATGTCAACAATGAATTATTCTAGCAAACCCGCGTGTTCCGGACAATATATGGATATGGATATTATGATATTTAGATATTTAGACAATTCTCATAATTTTTGCAAAAGATTGTAATAATTATTATATAATATTGTACATGTAATGTAATACAGGTAGATGGTCTCTCTGATCACAGGCAAGCGTAAAATTCCTGGACATTTGTTGCTTTCTGAATATAGTTTGACTACAACTATTGGCCCTTCCATTGTTGAATGTGATGAGTACTAGATAGTCTTTTTATTAAAAAATAAACCTTGCAATAAGACAATATTCAATTAATTTGCTGGTGGGTTGCACTCCTGGGGTTTGAATCAATTGTGTGACTAAATAAATTAAATAAATATAGTGTTATATTTGTATTTTGGTGTACTTCCTAGTATTTTTTAAGAGCACCCAGATTGAAAAGCAAAAAACCTAATTTAGCCATGCAAGTGACATCATTATTTTTATTACAAACTGCAAAATCTTGAATTTTCATGCACTGATTTAAATTAATTATTGTTTTTTTTTCCTCTGTCAGCAGCATGGACATATAGATGTGTTGCCAGACAGTCCTACTCAACACGAATTTATCAGCGACGATTTTGTACATCAGGACACACATCATGGTAAGAATTAGCACATTACCAAGTCCTGTCTCACTGTCTTGCCCTTATGCTTGGTGGGCGTGTGAATATTTTCCATCCAACAAACCTTTTATTGATAGCATTGTGTGTTAAACCATCACAAAAGTATTTTAGATTTTTCAAGGAAAAACTCTGCTTTGCTATCTAAATATTAAAAGATGAATGCGGTCACACTACGTGTCCCGCAACAACACTTTTGATTGAAATTTTAAACAAAAGTTAAGATTTTTATAGATTTTCTTGGATCATTGAAACTGAATAAAACTAAGCACAAAAATTCAAGCGATTTCTAAGAGTTTTGATAATACGTTTAGACATTTGAAGAATTATCCAGCATGTTGGCGTACTGAAGCTGTACACCAGCAAGGTCACCACATAGTTGCATTCTTACCAAAATGCGGCTCGTGTTCGAAGGGCTATAACTCGATAACCATGAACTCTAATTCCTTCAAATTTGACCAGAATATATACTGTCTTTTAAATGCTCCATATGATAGTATATATCAAGGAATCGAAATTTGCTTTTTAAAGGTACCGATTTTAGAGCTCCCACCAAGAATACAGCAGCCATGCTTTATGTGGATTCTATCATTTCTGTTCAGAATAAAGAATAACAGTAATATCTTTCTAATGTTTCAGAGCCATACTGACTCCATTATCAAGGATTAACTTTAAATATGAATCAATGCAAATCAGTGGAGTCAGTATGACTCCAAACATCGGATAGTAGCGTTAAATTCTTATTTCTTCTTAGTGACTTTTAATACTTTAATTTTCGTAATTAGTTAAAGTTCTATCATTTCCATCATATTTATTAAATTATACAGTCAGTTAATATAATTTATCTATACATTTTTCTCATGAAATTATTTATTTCTATAACACCAGAATATTATTAATTATTTATTATTAGAGTTAAGTCGAGAAGACCTACAACAGATTGGAATGGATCGAAAGGAGCAGACATCAGATACAAGCAGTTCAAAGCCCTCGGCAACCAAACCCATTGATTTAGGTAAGATTTAACTTTTGGTCTTGTGGAGTAAGAGTTGGTAGTCCATGTTGTGGTCATGCTTGGTCAAACTAACAGTACAAAGAATTAAAAAACCCTGTCAAGTAAACATAAAAAATGTCAATGCAACAATGGTTCAGGGTTTTCATAAAAGCCAGCAGAGTACATATTTTATAACATCTATTCATTAAAAGCCAGCAAATACATCTATTTTGACCTATTTTGATCATTATGAAATTAATATCATGATGTTTACAAAGATCTCTTAAAAATAAATCATTTTTCGTAATTCTTATTTTCAGATCCACCTCCCGAAGACGACATACCTGAATGGGAAAAAGAATTACAACAGGAATTACAGGTAATTAATACTACAATATTAATATTWGAGTAACACCAATCTGATCCAATAAATACTGATGAAGTATGTCTGCCTGAGTACAACATATAATTACATCATCATATCAATAACATACAGTGTGTCATGCCTTGATTATAAGGAAAGAAAGGCAAGGTGCTAAGT